ATCCAAAATGGTAAAAGACTAAAATATGAGTAAAACATTGAAAATATTCCAAAAATAAGAGTTTCATATTTTTATTTCTGAAATAGGAGTTAAAATGTATTTACATTACCAATCATGACCATGTAGATTTCTAAAAGGTATAGTAAAATGCACATGTACAATGCCACATTATCATAGTGCAAAATCCTATTTAGGAAATAAAAACATGGAACTCCTGTTTTGGTACTTTATTTATATTTTACTCCTATTTAGGGTGATTTCCTTATATCCAAATTTATAAATACCACCTCAAACACGGACAACGATAAATTTTTTTAAATCCAAAATTAGATTTTCTTTTATATTTATATCAGTGATCATTTAATTGAGTGATTTTCTAACACTTTAATTTTTCTTACATCTTCTACCTGCTTCCAGTATCTTCCAACATCTAACTTTAGAATCCCAACTAAAAAAAACCCTGAGTGGAGAGTTTGACTTATGGGAATTGATTAGGGGTGAGCAAGTACCGAACCGATCCCAAAATCTCCTAAAAAAATCGAGATTACTGAATCGATAAAATACTCCTCCGTCCACCAAAGATCTTTCTATTGCGCGTTACGAAGTTTGACCAACTTTATTTTCAATTCAATTTATTTGATTGTAATTAAGGATAAAATTTAAAAATAAAATTTATATAGTAAAAAGTACATGAAAATTTTTATAAAACTAGATGTGACAAGATTATACTCCCTCCGTTCCACAAAACCTTTCCCCTTTCGTTTTTTTTGCTTTCCACAAAACACTTCCACTTTCTATTAAAAAACCACTTTTACCTCCACTTTTTCATACCCTACCTATCACATCATACTTTTTCACTAATAACCAAAGTATCACATCTTACTTTTTTTCATCACATCAGGGACAAATTTGGAAAGTCAACCAAAATTACACTTTCCTTATTTTTGCCCAAAGTCAAAATGGGAGGGAGTATTATTTTATGAAATGAGTAATAAAAATAAGCAAATAAAGTGAGTTAAGTTTAACCTTGTGAATAGTGTCTGAGAGGATTTATGGTGGACAGAGGGAGTCCCAAAATTATCCATAACCTCATTTCAGTTCGGCAATTTACCAGTGATAACAAATACACTGTCGAATTTGACTCAAATACTTTTTCTGTGAAGGATCCTCGGGCGGGAACCATGATTCATCGGTCCAATAATGAAGGACAACTCTATCCTCTGTGCCCACCCAATCTAGCCGCCCTAGTCAATGTTGCCTTAGTTGCCATTCAAACGTGGCATCGTCGCCTTGGACATCCCAGCCTTGAAAATCTTCATGGAGTCCCTAGTCTTTCCCCTTTATTTAATAAACATTTAAAACATTCAATTTGTCATGCTAGTCAATTAGGAAAACATGTTCGTCTTCTTTTTACTCCGTTTGTTCGTGTTTTTATTTTTCCCTTTCAATTAATATAATGCACACTGATTTATGACAATCTCCTCATGCTTGTAAAATAGGAAAACATGTTCGTCTCCCTTTTACACCGTTTGTTCGTGTTTCTAGCTTTCCCTTTCAATTAATATAATGCACACTAATTTATGGCAATCTTCTATTCCCAACATTACTAAATTTAAATTTTATATGCTTCGCTCATCAGATGATTTTTCTCATTACTTATGGTATATATTTCCTCTAGGATACAAATCTGATGCCTTCTCTCATATCACTAATTTATCGCATATGTAAAAATTAAATTTAATTTTACTATTAGTGTTGTTCGATGCGATAACAGAACTGAGTACCGCAACACCCCCTCCAAAACATCTTTTACTAGGGGTGAGCATGGTAGATATGGTACAGTATTTATCCTAACTCCCTGCATGCATTATTTTTCTAAATATCAATTAACTCTAGTGTTTTTAACCAAAAATTAAAACCAGACGACCCTAACATTTTTTATGCATGGAGAAACAAATAAGGTGGCGAGCCTCACCCACCCCACCCGTGCATGATCATGGGCCCCGTTCTCATCATCTATCATCATGCATCATATCCATCTTTGTCGTCCACACACAAAAAATATCTCCCTTACCTATCTGCTGCTGCCTGATGAATGAATGATGATATCGTTAGCATGCATGCATTTAGTCTCGCTTTCTTCCTTCATCATTATAATTAATGCGGCTAATTCAGGTTTGGTTCATTAAATTAATAATAATAATATTTTTTTTTGGAAGGGAATTGAATGACTTGATTGCAAATTAATAAATTAATAAAATAGAAGTCCTTCCATGTCAAGTGATCTGACAAATGCAAGCCATGCTCGGTTAACCAACATGGCTTTGACTTGAATGATGTTCTTCTTTTCAATTCACTACTTATCTTATCATTGCATTTTTTTTCTTATTATAATTATTCTAAATGAGACAATTCCCTTTTTTCCCCTCAAAATATTCCCCCTTTCATACTCAAATAAATTTTTGACTTTTCTTTTTTATTAGTCAATGATTAAATTTCATATTTCTTTTCAGAAACACGTACAAATATATCTAAACCGCTTGCATTTAATTTAGGTACAGATTCATTCATACTTGTTTTATTTCTGTGTTTCTCTTCTTGACGGCACCTAATAATAAATGATGGAATATATACACTCGTAATCTATTATATTCATTTAATCCGTGTTTATTTAACTTTTGAAAATGAGCTGACTATTGTGGGGTTTGAGGAACGAGGAAGATATAAACCCTTTTGCAATCATTGCAAGTATGCTCACCTGCAAATAGATCTACATGTATACTCTCTCCGTCCCTAAATATTTGTCACACTTGTATTTTCGAGGAAAAATATTAAGTTTTTTTAATTTATTTTATTTACATATTGGTATAGAAATAAAAAAAATTACATATCAAAAAACTACATGAAAAGTTCTTCGAAATAAGAGGTGTCAAGAATATTTTATTTTATCAAATAACCAATGAAAACGTAGAAATAAACAAAAGTTTCCGCGACTGCTGAAAAAGCAAACGTTGCAAATAATTTGGGACGGAGGGAGTAGAAAACTGCTACTCCCTCCGTTCTCAAAAACTCTTCCTCTTTCATTTTTTTTTGCTTCCAACAAAACACTTTCATTTTCTATTAAAAAACCACTTTTACCCTTACTTTTTCATACCCTATCTATCACATTATAATTTTTCTCTAATACTTAATCCATCACATCTTACTTTTACCCATCACATCAAGGGAAAAATTGGAAGTCAACTACTACCTCCGTCCCAAAAAGATTTACACATTTTGACTAAAGTTGAAATTAAGGGAGGGATAATTTTGTGTTGACTTTCCAAAAATACCCTTGATGTGATGGGTAAAAGTAGTATGTGATGTATAGATTATTAGAAAAAAGGTATGATGCAATAGGTAGTGTTTGAAAAAGTAAGGGGTAAAGTGGTTTTTTAATAGAAATGAGTAGGAGATTGTGGGACGCAATTTTTTTGAAAGGTGTAAATCTTTTTGGGATGGAGGGAGTACAATTTAACATTTCTTTATTTTTACACAAAGTCAAAATAGGAGCACTGTTATAGAACGGAGGGAGTAATACAGATCTACATATATACAAAAAATGCTAATACAGATCTACATATATACAAAAATGCTAGGAGTACATTGTTTTTATTACTTACTCCCTCCCTTCTTGGAAACACTTCCACCCTTATTTTCGTGCATCCTATAAAATGTTCTTACTCTACCTAAAATATCTAAAATACCTCCAAAACAACTTCTACACGCAATAAATTATATAATGTGATGTATTTTAGACATTTTAGATGAAAGTAAAAGTATTTTATGGGGTGCGCAAAAATTAGGACTGAAGTGTTTTCAAGAACAGAGGAGGGAGTATATATATATTCTGTACGTAATAAGCTAATGACAAAAAACATGATATATACATTGTTCTTATTACTTATTCTTTATTCTTATAGTATTCAGATTAGATTAAATTTGACTATATTATATCAGATCAGACCAGATTAAAATTTATTCAAATCAAATCAGAACAATCTTATCAGTTGAAAATTACAAGCTCATAGACTAACGAACGTGAACAATATTCACATAGGAATAGAATATACTTCGTAGTTATATATTTTCTTGAGACCATAAAGTTTTCTTGCACATCCCATAAAACACTTCTACCTTAACTCAAATGCATGTCTAAAAAAACTTTCAGAACAAGTTCTACCCCCAACAAAGTACAAGTGTAGTGAATTTTAAACATTATAGATATGCTTAGAAGTGTTTAATGACATGAACAAAACCCCTAGCTAATTCATTGCTCTATCTATTTCACGGTCGCCTATTGTCACCCATAACTATCCCTCGCCACCCACCATCACAATAACCTACAACCACTACCAACGAAGCATCATATCGCCATAACTATCTGTTGAGTGTTACTTCAAAGTCCCACATCGGTGGGATAGGAAAATTGAGGAGGGATTGGAGCCTATAAATAAAGAGGGGATATAGGCTTCCATCACACAACACAATCCTTCAATCTATATAATTGTGTATTAGATTTTAGGTTGTGAGTGTCAAATATTGGAGAGGGTTTGTAATTTTTCCGTGCAAAAATTATTAGTGAGATTTATCCTAGAGGGGGTCGTGCCACGTTAAAAATTTGTGTGCTCTCTTTTCTTTTCTTTCCATTTGTTTGCAGTGGGGGCCTAACAAGTGGTATCGGAGCCAAGGTGCAGAGCTCGGGTGATCTGGTAATTATAATTCTCAGTATGCTCTGTGGTTGTAGCTTTGACTGATCTTCCACATCAGAAAAGAATTATTAATTACAGAGTTGCAGTCTAGGGAGGAAGGAGATAGAGCAAGGAGCAAGAGGAGGGCGTGCCACTTCAGTGGAGGAGGTGGTGGTCCAGTCAGCAGAGGTGGGTCCGTGAGTGCTACGTCAGCAGTCTGTGGGTCCGAGTGCCAGGTCATCATCCAGTCAGCGCCACATCAGTAGGTCCAGTCATCGTGTGGGTCCCGCTGGTGACTTTCGGAGAGAAGTTGGTTCTGACTAATTTTGACGTCCTGATTCCATTTTTGAGGCCAGTTTTCTCAAATTTGGATTGTTTGGTATTGGTTGATTGCTGCTTGAGTGGAACTATGACTACCTTGAAGTTTGAAGTTCCGTTATTTGATGGAAGAGCGGACTTCATGTTGTGGCAATGCACGATTCAAGACTATTTGGTCCAGCAAGGTCTTGATTTAGCATTGCAAGATGAGAAGCCAAGTGATACGAAAGAATCAGAGTGGAGTACAATCCAGAAGAAGGCTGTCAGCACAATTCGGTTGCCACTGTCCCCACAGATTAAAGTGACAGTGCTGAAAGAGACATCACCAAAGAAGCTGTGGGAAACGTTGGAGAGCAAGTTTGCGTCGAAGACACTTACTAACCGGTTGATGATGAGGATGGACTTGTACTCACTGAAGATGGAAGAGGGAGGTAGCGTAATTGATCACATCAACAAGTTTAATGAGCAAGTATCAAGGCTGTTAAATGCAGGGGAGACTATCAAGGATGAANCCCACAGATTAAAGTGACAGTGCTGAAAGAGACATCACCAAAGAAGCTGTGGGAAACGTTGGAGAGCAAGTTTGCGTCGAAGACACTTACTAACCGGTTGATGATGAGGATGGACTTGTACTCACTGAAGATGGAAGAGGGAGGTAGCGTAATTGATCACATCAACAAGTTTAATGAGCAAGTATCAAGGCTGTTAAATGCAGGGGAGACTATCAAGGATGAAGAGCAAGAGCTGCTTCTACTGGCTTCACTACCAAAATCCTTTAAGCCGTTTGTGCAGTCAATGATAGCAGGAAGGACTACACTGCGACTAGATGAGGTGACGACTGCCTTGAAAGAGAGTCAAAGGATGATGGGAGGTGAAGAGTCTTCCGGGGACAGTCATTTACTAGCTGCTGTGAGTGTTGAGAAAGAGAGGAAGAAGAAGAGTGACCAACTTTGGAGAAGATCTCAGCTAAGAGACATGAGCACTGTTAGGTGCTATTACTGTGAAAAGTTGGGTCACACGAAGAACGGTTGTCCAGAACTCAAGGAGGACTTGCAGATCCTAAAGGAGAAGAAGGGAAAATCGAAGGAAGCTTCTTCCGCAAATGTGATCACTTATGAAGATGATCTCTTCTGAAGATAAGAGTACTGCTGGACAGAAGGTTCTGCAGGATGGGAGTATCGCTGCAGAAATCGCAAATGATGTAGGACTTTGAATTAAGGGGAGATTTGTTGAGTGTTACTTCAAAGTCCCACATCGGTGGGATAGGAAAATTGAGGAGGGATTGGAGCCTATAAATAAAGAGGGGATATAGGCTTCCATCACACAACACAATCCTTCAATCTATATAATTGTGTATTAGATTTTAGGTTGTGAGTGTCAAATATTGGAGAGGGTTTGTAATTTTTCCGTGCAAAAATTACTAGTGAGATTTACAGAGGGGGTCGTGGAGTAGGTCTTGAGGTGCCGAACCACGTTAAAAATTTGTGTGCTCTATTTTCTTTTCTTTCCATTTGTTTGCAGTGGGGGCCTAACACTATCCCTCGCCACTGCTACCCAGCATCTCTGATAATGTCCTTCTTCAGATGAACGCATACACACATGGACACACACATACAAAAGGTGTGTGTAATATAAATCAGCAGAAGAAACTGATACAGAAAAGGTATCCACTACCATATACTTCCTCCGTCCTTGAAAACCTTTCTCCTTTCTTTTTTTATCCGTTCCAAAAAACACTTCTCATTTCTATTAAAAAGTCACTTTTACCCCTTACTTTTTCGTACCCTACATATCACAGCACACCTTTTTACTAACAATCTATCCATCAAATCATACTTTTACCCATCACATCAAAGGACATTTTTGAAAATTCAATACTAAAATACACTCCCCTTAAATTCCTCTTCAAAATCAAAACTCCCATGTTTTCCAGGATGGAGGGAGTATATAATATTTCATATATTAAATATACTTATTATGCTTCCAACGTCCTAAGCGACACCAAATGAATACCTAATTAGCTAAGGGCGTCCCTGATGAAAGGAGTGTTGAGATTCTCTCATACTCTACTACATCAGCACTTTATTATTTCACATTCTTTTCTAGACTTCCAAAAAAATTATTGTAACATTCAGACTCACTCAGACTTTGTCAAATCAATTTATACAATAAAAAACTAAATGAAATATTCTACTCTCTCTACCCCTAAGTATTTGTCCACTTTTGACTTTTTTTGTCAAAATGGGTAAACTTTGAACTCAAATTTAATAAAATTGATATTAGATATTGATACTAAAATAGTTTTATTATATCAAATATTTTCAAAATATTATTTTATTTAATTAATATACAATATAGATTTTATTTAACTATAGGTCAAAGGTTGAAAACGGTTGACTGTAAAAAATCAAAACTAAACAAATACTGAGAGACAGAGGTAGTACTCCCTCCGTTACATAAAACCCTTCCCCTTTCGTTTTTTTCAATCACCTTAAATGCTTTCACTTTCCATACTTTGTGCATACCCTAGCTATCACATCATACTTTTTCACTAATAACCAAACTATCACATCTTATTTTTATCCATCATATCAGATACTCCTCCGTTCTCAAAAACACTGCCTCTTTCATTTTTTCCACTTCCAACAAAACACTTCCCTTTTCTATTAAAAAACCACTTTTACCCTTACTTTTTCATACCCTACCTATCACATCATACTTTTTCTCTAATAATCTATCCATCACATCTTACTTTTACCTATCACATCAGGGGCAAAATTGGAAATCAACTATAATTTAACACTTCCTTATTTTTGCCCAAATCCAAATGAGAAGTGTTTTTCCAAACGGAGGGAGTATAAAATTGGAAAGTCAACAAAAATTTTGGCCCAGAGTCAAAATGGAAAGGGTTGAAAGGAACAAAGGGAGTATAAAATAAGAGGATGACAAGATTATATTATTTTGTGAAATAAGCAAGTAAAAATATGCAAACAAAGTAAGTTAAGGGGATTGACCTGTGATTATTTGATAATAGCAATCCAAGTCGTAGATAAAGAACGTTTATTATCCAAAAGTGATGATCTCATTAAATAATTTTCCCATAAGTTCTGGGCAATAGATGTTTCATATGGACAAACCTTTGTAGACATTGTGGTTTCTTTAATTTCGGTACCTTGGGAATTGTATTTTGGTTATTTAAAAAAAGAAATCATTATGTTTTTCTTTTATTCCAAATTCCTAAACTAAACCAAACATAGTGTGATAATCCTCCCATTGTACTTTAATTTTTGTTCTTCTCTTTAATAAAATGCTGTTCTTAAACGAAAAAGAAAACTTAAAAATAACACCATATTATATGCATGGCTCGCTCGGGGTATGAATTGAGTAGAGGGTCGTCGATCGTCTGATAGGGCCGGGCCATAGGGGTCCTACTGCAGGTATATTAATAATTAATGACCCAATGATTATTGAATGGAACAATAATACTGAGGGGGGGGGGGGGGGGG